TGCTATGCTACTGAGCTCTTAACATGAAAAGTCAGTAGCGACCCTGGCAGCTGGTGACGCATGTGGGAACAGTGGGAGTGACCCTGGCTGGGAAACAGGAGGCCTGGATATTGTTTCTCTTCTCTGTATCCTGCTCAGTATCAGAGGACTCTGAACTCTCAAGCCTGTACAATGGCCTTCCCAGCCCGATCACGCCCGTGCACCATCCCAGAGAATGAAGAAATTCCCCGGACAGTCCTTAACAGTGTCCTCGAAGCTAATGGGAATGAAGATGAGAGGGCTGTGTCCAAGCTGCAGCGCAGGCACAGTGATGTAAAAGTCTACAAGGAATTTTGTGATTTTTATGCAAAATTGTGAGTCTCTCCCCTTCTAGAATGCCATGCGGGCTTTCAGATCTCCAGCTCTTTATCTCTGCGTTCCTTAGACATTTGATCCAGCTAATGTGTTTTAATTTAGCATGGCTTTTCCAGGGTGTACCGAGGGCTCGGGGTGGTTCACAGATTGCCTTGTCTTGTAAACTTCTACCAGAGGACATAGCAGATGTCAAGGAAAATGCCACCTTCCTGGGAAGAATAGAAAGCTCTCATATTTCTAATAATGTACATTTTCATCTTGTTAACCATGAGAGAAGTTGACACTTTGTGTTGTCAGGATCCATAACAGGAAAAAATATACTCTGAAAGTTCTCAGAGGTGAAACTAAAACTTTAATTAATGAATAATTTGCTGGGGAATTATTCCATAACCAGTATTTGAAGTGGCTAGTAAACTCTCAAGGTATTTGATTACAGAATTTTGCACATTGTTGTGTTTTAAGAGCAGAAAATTTGTTTAGCATGTAGTGATAAATAAGATCTGAGAAACTGGGAAGCTTGATTGTAGTTTCCTGAGCAGCCGACCTGAGAGGTAAGCCAGTAAAGACTAAAGACTTTATAGAAATACATTCTTCCCACTCCCGAATTGTCTTTGTCAGCAACACTCTTTTAGTGAAAAACGTTTTCTGAGAATTAAGCAATTAGGTATAATCAATCTAATGACTTATCTCAAAAAATAGCTTCTATCATATGTTGTATTAAATATTGTCAGCTATAAGAAATGTGAATAGTACTGGAGAGTCAGGTAGGAAAGGAGCTGAGCATACAGTCCCAACACTTGGGAGGTGTGGAGGATGAGGAATTCGAGATCAGCCTAGACTACATAAGACCCTGTCTCAGAAAAAGAAAAACCAAAGTCAACCAGCCAACAAACAAAAAGATAGAGTAAAGGGAAACATGAGGTCAGTCGAGAGGCAAGTGATTGCTGTGTCCTGCTCCTTCTTTTTACTAAAAAGAATTTGTGTGTGTATTACGATGTATATGTATTATATTAATCACTCGACCCATTTTGCCAATTCTACTTTGAGTATTCAAACATAAATAAAATTTGGAACATAGTGAACGTGAACAAGTCAGTGGTAATGGCATTTTTTATCCAAGGACTTCCTTATACTGCCTCAAGCACAACCAGAAGGAGCTGGGTGGTGATGGTGGTGGCAGCACAGCCTTTAATCCCAGCACTTGAGAGGCAAAGGCAGGTGGATCTCTGTGAGCTCAAGGTCAGTCTGGTCTGTAGAGCAAGTTCCAGGACAGCCAGAACTTCCCAGAGAAACCCTGTATTGAAAAAACAAAAATGTAAAAAAACAAACAAAAGGATTGAAATCTAGTACTTTTTGTATGAGTTCTTGTACTTGTTAATTCAGTGAAAAGTAACTCGTTACATTAATATTATAGAGGGAAATGCCATTACTTTACATTTGTGCACATTTGGTTGATGTTTTTCTTTTGCAAGCTCCTTCCTTACAGTCTGCTTCTGCACAGTGATGTGGCTGAGAGAGGGCCTCCAGACCTTCCAGAGAACCTTGAGAATCACTGAGTTAAGTGGTAGTGAATCAGAACATTCCAGAATGTTCTTCAGCTTTTTGGGAGAGCCATTAAAATTACTGAGGTTTAGCATGGTGGTGGTGGTATGGCACATGCCTTTAATCCTAGATGGATCTTTGTGAGTTTGAGGTCCGCCAGGTCTGCAGAGAGAGAAAGAAAAAGTTCCAGGGCTACACAGAACAACTCTGTCTTGAGAAACAAACAAACAAACAAACAAACAAAAATATTGAGATTTGAGGTGTTTTCTTGAGAGAATTTAGAATGATAATGATGTAATGATGTCATGTCTTTTCATGCCTTTTCTACTTTCCAGCCAGAGTGGTTTATACTTTTTATTATTTCATCCTCAAATAGCTTCTGAGAATTCTTGAGCAGATGTAGGCTTAGCATCCTTCTCCACTCAGCCACTCTTTCTATAAGAAAAGAGAGTGCACAGCTCTGGGGAGCCAGGGCTTTATTAAAACTGTCACCATTGATCTGGGTAGAAGGAACTATATGGATTTTCTCATGTCACATTAATTCTGAAATGACAAAGTAGAAGCTTGTTTACACAGTATTTAGGCCAGGTTTACCCAGCAGTGAGGCTTCCCTCTTTCCCTTTTAAAAGTAATTTTGGGGGGTAGGGCACACATGTGCAGGTCAAAGATAACTTACTGGAATCAGTTTTATTCTTCTACTGTGTGAGTTCCAGGGATCAAACTCAGATCTTCAGGCTTGGCAGCAAGCACCATTACTTGCTGTGCCATCTCTCTGGCCCCGTCTTTTCCTTCTTTTTTTTTCCAGTGACATTCTTATTTTATATTTAGCTTACCAATTAAAACTGAGTTTTGCTTAGCCTGAAATGGTGAATATGAGAATTGAAAATAGTTCCTTCCTTCCTTCCTTCCTTCCTTCCTTCCTTCCTTCCTTCCTTCCTTTTCTTTGTGTTTTGGTTTTTGTGTGTGTGTGTGTATGTGTGTGTGCGTGTGTGTGTGTGTGTGTGTGTG